AGTTGCTGACTTTTTGATTGGGTCTCTGAGTGGACGCCCAGATTGTTGATGATGAGGTATTTCTGTTAATTGGTTTTCCTTCTACCAGTCTAGACCCTCTGCTGTATGACTGCTGAGGTCCACTCCAGGCTCTGCTTGTCTGGGGTACACCTGTAGCAGCTGCAGAATAGTGACGGATGCTACCATTTCTTCTTCTGCTATCTTCGTCCCATAATGATGCCTGCCTAATGTCAGTCTGATCAGTCCTTTTTGAGGTGACTCTGGATATACAGAGGTTAGGGAGTTGCTTGAGGTGACGGTCTGTACTTTATAGGAGCTCAAGTGCTGAGCTGTGAGCTCCATTGTTCATTCAGGGCTGTTAGGCTGCTACATTTATGTCTGCTGCAGCAGACCTCTTAAAACCCCTTTTTTTCCTCAGATGCTCTGTCTCGGGGAGTTGGGGCTTTCTTTATGAGTGTCCGTTGCACTATCCTGCCCAGCTAGGAGGCGGTCTAGTCACTATTTGCCTGCCAAGGCTCTGCCCTGTTGATGTGGGGTCTGCCCTGTTGCTGCAGGCTCCGCCGTGGGCTCTGCACTGCTGCCACGGGCTCGGCCCTGTGGTGGAGTCTCTCTGTTATGGTGGGTTGCCTCGGCAATGGCAGGCTGCATCAGCAATGGGAGTGTACCTCACTAGGGGCGGATTGCCTCGGTAATGGAGGACGCCCCTCCCCCACCAAGCTGCACTGTCCTGGGTTCAGCTGTGCCAGCAGTGAAACTCTCCACCTGGAGCATTTCGAATTGCCATTTTGTTTGTCCCTGTGGGGGTGAAATCCACTGAGCCTGCTTGCCTGGCTCCCTGCCTCAGAGTGCCCCTCTTTTTTCTTTTTTTTAAGTTGAACGGATGGCTCTCTCCCAGGTGTTTCGGTCACCTGCTGTTAGAGCACCGGGATCTGTGTGATTTCCTGTGCAGCGACCCACTGCACTGGCTCAAACGCCACTTCCCAGGAATCTCCTGGTCTGGCTCACTGTCCAAGTCCCCTTTAATCAGATGGATATGCTAATCTGCCCTCCCAAATCTCAGATTGCCGGTTTAGTAGGGCACCCGGACCAGTGTGTTTTGAGCGGAGTGTTGCAGAGTGCTGCTGCGCTGCGGCGCCGGCCGAAGCGGCCGCAATAGCCAAAATGGCTGTGCTTGCGTCCTGTGTCTCTCCTACACCTGGGAATTTCCCCGTTCTGTGGGCAACAAAGATCGGTCTGGAAATGTGGCTTTGACTCACCCTATGCACATTCACTGAGAGCTGCGATCCTGAGTTGTTTTTACCGCGCCATCTTGAGGTGCATCCCCAAATTGAAATTCTCCTTCGTTTATTTTTAAACCTGCCATGACTTGAGCTAATAAAATAGCTTTGTGTAAATTTCCACCAATACCATCACAAGCTTTAAGGTACTCCATCAAATGAGCCTTTCCTTTAATATGTCATATGGCAGCCTGACATTCTGCATTTGTGTTGTCAAATGCTCAAAACTATGGTACTATGTCCTGAGCTTGTGTGTCTGCGATTGCCTTTCTCACTGTTTCTTGTAGTCTAGCTATGAAGTCTGCATATGGCTCCTCTGGCTCTTGTCTCACTGTACTAAAAGACGGAAATTTTTTACCTCCCGATGTAATCTTTTTCCAAGCTCTTAAACACCTTCCTAACCTGCTCTTTGGCCAAATCAGTCATAGCAGCCTGTGCATGTGAGGAGCCCATGCACCAATTCCTGTGAGCTGTTTCTGCAGAAATATTCATTGGAGGCTGAGCATTGGCATTCAGCTTAGCCTGAATATTAGCCTTGTCAGCCCACCAGGTCCTAAGCTGTAGGAATTGAGAAGGAAATAGGCAAGCTCAAGTTTAAGTGTCCCAGTCAGCAGAAATTAATCTATTAGAGGTGGTCACATTTTTTAACCATCCCATAACAAACAGAGATCCCGGGCCATATTGGCTAATTGCTTGTTTAAATTCTTTTAGAAGTTTACATGGAAAAGGATCAAATGTTCCCTGAAACTGTCCTTGTTGATTTGGGGGCTGTATTGTAACAGGAAACTGCCAAGCCTCTAAATCTCCATCCCTGTGAGCCTGTCGTATTCCAGCCTCTATAGACCCAATCCACAGGGGGGAATCTAACCATGTCATAGGTCACAACGAAGGAGGGAAAGGAATATATGCCCAATGGGTAATTTCCCAATTACTGCTGTGGAGGACATAAATACTACCACCGGAGCGGCAAGTGTCACTTTAGAAACAGCATCTGATTCCTCTAACGGAGGATGTCAGGTGGATCTAGCCACTCTTTGATTAAACACTGAGGAGGAGCTGACAGACTTCTTCTTTTTCCTCATTTTTTTTCTTTTTTTTTTTTTACCTGGGTTATCTTTAATTTCCTCATCCCAATTATATTATCCTTCTTCCGCTGAATCTTCCTCCTCATCATCAGTTTGAAATGGCTCTAATTCTGAATGCACCATTGCCCAAACTGACCATACTGGAATAGGAATATCCTCAGCTCCTCCTTTACATGCCTTTTTTAGAGTAGTACCCACTTTTTCCCATTCCTCTATATTCAAAGTTCCCTGCTCAGGAAACCAGGGGCAATATCTTTCAACTGCATTAAAAAGCTGTGTTAAGCAGCTACTACTACTTTAACTCCCCCTCTTCTAAGCAAATGATAAAGCAAGCTAAGGTCAGCTTTGCGTTTGCTTGAACCTTGTCCCATTGTTATCCTGATGCTTCCAAGTTCTGCCTAATTTACCTGGGAGGTTTTTTCAAGCATTCTCAGGTGTCCTTCAGCTTAGATTAGCTTCTCCTTTCTCCATCGCTCAGGCAACCTTTCATCCTGGGTTTGATTTCCACATTTGGGCACCACTTACTGAGACCAGCATGGTCATGGGCCCAACCCAAGCAGCACTGAAAGAATTAAGAGTCAGACACAAGTTTAGAGTGCAAAGTGGGCTCAGGGGCTGACAGCGTTCCCAGCTGAAAGCCCAGAGCAGACTCTGACCCACATATTTACTCACTTGTGAATTTATTCAAGTGTGAACACTGATTATTTTTAACAAGCAGGTATTCTATGTATTTTCATAGAATAAAGACAAATTAGGCAGGCAGCTAGTGCCTGTTCACTACTATTTAAAAACAAACTAGAAAGCACTCTTTGCAAGAGAGCAATGGGGGCAGGGTTATGTATCCTGTGTTTTAAGAACTAGTTTAACTATTACATGACATCTATATATTGTTTACTTATTCTAGAAGGCCCTAAGCAGTTTTCCACCTGGGTATGGCTCAGTGTTCCTTGCCATCGTTTCTCAGTAAATAATATAATTCATCACACACATCAAGTTTCGTTCTCATCAATCATGTGACTCAGCCATTCTTTCTCCTAGCTATACATCCAAGAAAACGGAAAACATCCATCCACTCAAACACGTGGATGTGAATGTTCACAGCAGTGTCATGGACACAGAGGGACCACTATGGTTCGAGAGCAGAACAGGTGATATTACACTAATGGGACCAGGACAGCAGGTGCCAACTAGGAGGGCCTTGGGCAGCAGGGCACCTGGATGCCCTGTGACTCAGGACTTGTGCCTCCAGGTTTGGATGCCAGAGACAGACTCAGCCCAGGCAAAAGCCCTCCCCCTGGAAGTTCTCTTTATCCCAAGCTTTTCCCTGTCCCTGGAGTTAGGCATCCTCCAGGCTCTGGGTGGAAGGACAGATGAGCCAGGTTTAAGACAACACGTCTAGAACAGTGAGTCCCACTTTGTGTCGGGCACTTCCTCCACAGCATCCCCCTTAATCCTCCTGCTCTCATGAAGGACAATTAACCCCATTTAAAAAATCGAAGCAGAATTTGTATACCATCAAATTTGCCATTTTGATGTGTACACCCAGTGGTTTTTAGCACATCATAAGGTTATGCAGCCACAGCCACTATCTAGTTTGAGAACTTTTTTTCTTTTTGAGACAGAGTCTGACTCTGTTGCCCAGGCTGGAGTGCAGTGGTGTGATCTTGGCTCACTGTAACCTCCGCCTCCTGGGTTCAAGAGATTCTCCTACCCCAGTCTCCTGAGTAGCTGGGACTACAGGTGCCTGCCACCATGCCCAGCTAATCTTTTGTATTTTTAGTAGAGACAGAGTTTCACTGTGTTAGCCAGGATGGTCTCAATCTCCTGACCTTGTGATCTGCCCGCCTCAGCCTCCCAAAGTGCTAGGATTACAGGCATGAGCCACCGCACCCGGCCCAAGACCATTTTTATTACCAAACAGAAACCGTGTCTCATCAGCAGTCCACCAACAGTGGCTGGAAAATACTCAGGAAAGAAAATGGATAGTTGCATCTATACTGACTCTGCAGCCATTTTTTCTTGTCATTATTCCCTAAACAACACAGTATAGACCCATTTACATGGCTCTATATTGTATTTGGTATTGTAAGTAATCTAGAGATGAATCTAATTGTACAGGAGGATATGCATAAGAGGCCTTAAATAAGAGGCCATCTTATATAAGGCACTCGGGCATCTGTGGATTCTGGTATCTGTGGGGGATCCTGGAACCAAACCCCATGGATACTATACCAAGGGATGACTATAAACCCTCACCCAGGAAGGCTTCTCCATGGAGAAAGGGCCCAGTTCAGGATGCACAGGGACATGCTCCCTGGAGTGCCATCCATTCATCTGTTCACCCATCAGCCCATCTCTGGTGCTGTCCCAGTTACAGCCTTAGCAAGTGGAGACAAGAAGGCCCAGATGACGTTTCCAGCTTCGAGGTCTTGAGAAGCTGCTGCCAGGATGGAGGAGTGAATCAATTTCCTCCAGGATCCAGAGAGCATCCCAGCAGCCTCAGGGTCGGGAGAGGAGGCCAGCCTCTCCGGGAGCCAGACAGGCCAGCAGCAGGGTGGGTCAGACACATGTGAGTTGTGGGAGCCTAATGAGGGGAAGAGGAGAAGGCACTGCAGAGGGATCTCCTGCTGTCTTGCAGCTCTCCCAGGGCAGAAGCTGAGTGCGGATCAGCTGGCCCTGGTCTACAGCACGCTGGGGCTCTGCCTGTGCACCGTTGTATGCTGCTTCCTGGTGGCGGTGGTCTGTTTCCTCAAGAAGAAGGGGGATCCCTGCTCCTGCCAGGCCCGCACAAGGCCCTGTCATAATCCGGCCAAGTCTTCCCAGGGTGAGTGCATGGAACTGGGGTCCTTGCCCTTCTCGCTGCTTGGGTGACGAGCCTCAGGCCACCCCTCAGTCCTGTCACTGCCCCTGCTTCTAAGCAGAGAGGCCCGGGGCTCATCCCTGTTACCTGCTGTAGCTTGATAAGATCAGGTTAAGACATCGTGGAAGGCAGATATCTGGGTGAGGGGCACCCAGAAAGGGTGGGTGTGGGGTGCCGGCCTTCAGGCTTGCCTGGGCCTCGGGTCCTCAAGACGCAGGGCCATCAGGGCTAAGCACAGGAGGAGCATCCCCTTGGTGGGCATGGCAGACTTGGGGCTGGGCAGAAGTGAGAGCCAAGATTTGCCTGCCCACCCCTGCCCCAGCACAGGTTCTAGTCAGCAACTGGGGGACATTGACACTGGCCTGGGGGCATCCTAGGATGGTGGGTGATTGCCCTCAGTTCCTGGGCCAGGGAGAATGTGGCTGCACACACCGTCACTCCTACCCCAGTGCAGGGCCAGACCTGGCCCACACCCTCCACTCTCGCCTCTACAGATCACGCAATGGAAGCCAGAAGCCCCATGGGCACATCCCCCAAGCCAGTGGAGACTTGTAGCTTCTGCTTCCCCGAGTGCAGGGTGCCCACCCAGGAGAGCATGGTCATGCCTGAGACCCCTGACCCCACTTGCACTGGAGGGTGGGGATGCCATGCCAGGACCACAGTTCTGCAGCCCTGCCCACGTATCCCAGACAGCTACCTTGGCATCGTGTGTGTGCCTGCCCAGGAGGGGGGCCCGGGTGCATAAATGGGGGGCATAAAGGGAAAGGATGAGGGAGACAGATGGAGAGAGGGGGAGAGAGAGAGGTGAGAAGAGGGGAGAGAGCTAGGGAGAGAGATATGGGGAGAGAGAGGCAGAGGAGGCAGAGAGAGAGAGACACAGAGGGAGAGAGGCAAAGAGGGAAAGAGGCAGAGAGGCAGAGAGGGAGGGAAAGAGCAGGAGGTCCGGGCTCTCTGGGCCCCAGTTTCCAGTGCCGCCGTAGGTCGCCATCACCTGACCACACGTGATAAAGTCCTGGTGCTGCTGCTCACAGCCCCCAAGAGCCCCTCCTCCTGGAGAATAAAACCTGTGACGACTACCCTTCCTCACTGGGTTTTGGTTGTGTCTAATGAACGGAGACATTCCGCCTATCACGTTCTGGGCTCAAATCTCCACCAAACACTGCCCCCTCAGTTTGGGAGGACCTGTGGTGCCCCCATCTCACCAGGCTCCCAAGGAAGCTTGTGACTTTGGGTTAGGCCCTAAGCAGCCGAGTACCCACTGGGGCTCTGCCTCTCTCTTTCTCTAAGAGGGAGAAAGAGACCAAAGAATGGTCTGCAGAGAGGGCACCTGTGCAAACACCAAGGAACCAGAGGCTTCGGCTGTCTTCATTTCCTCATGGACACACATTCCCTTCCGTGCCTCCTTAGTGAAGGCATGAAGCATACCATGTGTGTATGTGCATGTGTGTGCATGCATTTCTGTGTATGTGTGTGTGCATGTGTGTGTGTGTGTGTGTGCATGTGTGTGTCTGTGCATGTATGTATGTACGTGTGTGTGTTGTAGGGGTGTGTAGTGGACAGGAAGGAGAGGGCAGCTCTAGCTCAAAGCTGCAAAAAAGATTGAAATTCCCTGGACCACAGCAAGAGAATGTTTTCATTTGCATCCACTTTTTAACATTTACAGCTGTATCTTGAGTAGCATGTAAACCTTAAGTTCTTTAACTATACTTAGAAGCATTTTCACAGTAAGATAAATCCATAATAATGTACAATGAAATTATGCACCCTGCACCCCCCAAAATTACCTTCCATACCTACACCCACCAAACGATCCCGCATCGCACTTCAGGAGGTATAGACAGCAAGCCAGGGGCTCCATCGTTCATTCTGTCTTTTCACCATCCGTGAGCTACAAGGCTGTGTTGGTCCGCTAGGGCTACCTTAAAGTATCACAGACTGGGCAGCTTCAGCAACAGAAACTCACTGTCTCACAGTCCTGGAGGCTGTAAGTTCAAGATTAAGGTGTTGGAAGGAAAGGTCCCTTTCCAGGGCGGTGCAGGAAGGCTGTTCCAGGTCTCTCTCCGGGCTTGTAGGTGGCCTTCCTGTGTCTCTTCACTCTGTCCAAATTTCCTCTTTACATAAGGACACCAGTCATATTGAATTGGGCACCCCCTATTGACCTTGTTTTTCATTGTTAATTTATTTCAAGATCACATTCTCAAGCACTGGGGCTTAGGACATCAACACAGAAATTTCGGGGAACAAACTCAACCCATCACACAGGCCTTCCCCGAGGCCATCTCTGAGTAAGTGTTGTCTACAGGCAAGTTCGCATCTAAAGAGTGTCTGTCCAAGACATGCATCTGGCCCCTGGTCCCGCCAGTCCACACGGCCAATGATGAGACCAGGTGGCATTGTTTCCTCACCGCCATGCCTCACGCACACAGCTGCCTTTTTATAACAGTGTGGACACAAATCCTGGCATTGGTGCAGACGCTTGCTGGTTGTGGGCAAAGCTGCCCTACATCAGTGTGCTGCAAAGATGTGGCTTAGAAGGTGCAGATTTCTATTCCTTCCGATCTGTGGCTGGCGCAGTGGCTCAAGCCTGTAATCCCAGCACTTTGGGAGTCCGAGGCGGGTGGATCACGAGGTCAAGATATCGAGACCATCCTGGTCAACATGGTGAAACCCCGTCTCTACTAAAAATACAAAAAATTAGCTGGGCACGGTGGCGCGTGCCTATAATCCCAGCTACTCAGAAGGCTGAGGCGGGAAAATTGCCTGAACCCAGGAGGCGGAGGTTGCGGTGAGCCGAGATCGCACCATTGCACTCCAGCCTGGGTAACAAGAGCGAAACTCCATCTCAAAAAAAAAAAAAAAAAAGATTTGCTCATCTGAACTGAAGGGGCTCTGTAGGGTACCTCTGGAATAGCCGGTGTGTTAGGGGTGCTAAAAACAGGGTGCCCATGCTCAACCCCAGCTTCAACCACACAAATAATCTCATGGTGTTTCTTTGTCAGTTTTTTAAATTGATCTTTTGTACTTTTTTTTTCTAGAGAGGGAGCCTTTGGTAGAAAGAAAATTTGAAACTCTAAATACTGTCCACTTTATCTATGTACCATTGGTCCTACCCTCAAAATATATCCTGATTCCAGCCACTTGTCATAACCTCTTTAATCTGAGTTCCCATCATTTCTCACCTGGGTTACTGTACCAGCCTCCCCACTGGCCTCTTCGCTGCCACCTGGCCCCCTCCCCAGGGCTCAGCAAGATTTTTCTGCAAAGGACTTGGTAGTAAGCATCTTGGGCTTGGTGGACCCTGCGGTCTTTGTTGCGCTTACTTGACAATTCTTCAGCTCTGCGGCCGCAGCCCCAAGGCAGCCACAGACGAGAAATGAACACAGGGGAGGAACTGTGGCTCTAATAAACCTTTATTCACCATAAGGAGGGGGCTGCCTCTGGATTGTGGGCCATAGTTTCCCATCCCCTGCCTGACTTCATGGCAACACTGACCTTAGTATTTATGCTTCTTAAAAACACGTGTAAGCCAAGTGCAGTGGCTCTTGCCTGTAATCCTAACACTAAGAGGCCGAGGCTGGAGGATTGCTTGGGGCCAGGAGGTCCAGACCAGCCTGGACCTCCTGGCCTAGCAAGATCCCTTCTCTATAAGAAACCATTTCAAAAGCAACCAGGCATGGGGCCCACACATGTAGTCCCAGCTACTCAGGAGGCTGAAGTGGGAGAATCGCTTGAGCCTGGGAATTCAGGGCTGCAGTGAGCTGTGATTAGGCCACTGCACTTCAGCCCGGGTGACAGAGTAAGATCCTGTCTTTCTCTGCTCGCATGTGTATGTGTGGGGGTGGGGGGTTGTCTACAAGATATACCTTTAATTGATCACAGCCAACCCTCAAATAACATGCATAGTGTAGAAAACTTACAATGCTACACTCCCAACTTTTCCCCCCCTCAGATCCTGTGACCATCTTCCTCTTCTCATTGACTCTACATGAAGGGGATTTCTGGTGGGGGAGGGTGGCTGGTGAGAAGTGAGGTACCAACAAACTAGCAAAGGGTCTTCTGGCTATCTAGGGACAGCTCTTGTGTGGTCCCCCATCTAGTCTCAAGAGTTCTGGGCCAGTCACCCTGGGACCTCTGTGCTGTGTCTCTGGATCCAGCCTCCTTGGGAAGGACCCTGGGAGACCCAGCACAGCGGGGTGCCTGGCCTGACAAACATCCTCCTGTTCCTCTGGCTGTGTGGCTCAGGAATAGGCCCAGACAGTGTGTCCAGGTGTGCCAGGCCACGTCACTGCCCCCTTTGTGATGGGCCCAGAGGACCTTGTGGGGCGAGCATGAAGCTAGGCACCAGAGCCTGGAACCAAGTTCCTCTCCCTGTGTCCTGGAGTGGGGGTCCATTCCCGAGAAGACTCTCAAATGCCTGTGGGTCCTGATGAGGGAGGGAAGGGTCTGTGGACTGAGGGGCCCATTGGTAGAGGACTTTGAGCACCACGCCTCAGGGGTCTGATCAGTGGGGGTCTGGTCTGCAAAGGGTTGAACTCTGGGGCTCAGACACAGCAAACCTGGTCAGTGGAGGCCTGGCTAGAGGGGCCTGGCCAGCTGGCCACTAGGTGACCTTAGGCAGGGGTTTGTCCTTGGAGCCTCCTTTCCTCTGTCCATAGCAGGGAGGAGTTGTGGCACCCCAGAGGGTTACTGGGAGGAGGAGTGAGGAGGTATATGGGACCCGGCTCTGCCGCACAGATCTACCCCATTACACCCTAGCTGAGTCCCTGCTAAGGAAGGGGCACCGAGGCCCTCTGCCCTCAACCCTCAACCTTCAACTGTCAGCCCCTCACCTCCCTGTCTGCATCCCCAAGACTGGCCCAGATGGGGAGGTCTGAGATTGGGGAGCACACATAGATGTTCTGATGCTGGCTATGGGTCCCAGGGGTGGTGACAGTAACAAGGACCTGGGTGCACATGTGAGTGTGCCAGCCAGGCCTGGCCTGAGCAGTGACACATGCATGTAATCATCAGGGCACTCACATACATGCGCACACTCACCTGCACAAACACACCGCACACACGCATGTTGACACTTCAGGGGCTGGAGGGCGCTGACTCTGGGCCCTGATGACCCAGGCAGGGGCCCACTGTAATAGGTGCCGTGACCTTCAGTGTCACTGGTGCTGGGTACCTACCCACCTGCCCTCTCTCTGTCTGGAGCTCTTGGAGACAAGACACACAGTGGTGTGTAGTTCTGCACAGAGGGGGTTTTTCCTAAGTGAGAGGCACAGCTGGATCAGCAGACTCAGATGAGTGTGACCTGCTCTGTTCCCTCCCTGCTGACCTGGGACAGTCGCGACCTGGTGGGCAGTGCTGGCCTCTAGGCAGGAGCTGAGGAGGGTCATCCCTGAGCACTCACCGGGTGCCCATTCTGCACTAACTGTGTGGACAGTTTTCCTTCATCCTCACAGCAACTTGGTAGGGTGGGTGCTGCCCACAAATGTACCCATTTGACAAATGAGCTGTCTAGAGTCAGAGAAGCAGATCCTGGCCCGGGGACCCAGATGTGACCCTGGGATGTGCTCTCAGGCCTGCCATGTGCTGTGCTGGGCTCAAGCCCTGAACTCTGTGGCCTCCCTGTCCTGGATTTCAAATCTTCCTGGAGTTCTGGACTTCAGTGGGGCAGAGCCTGGCCCTGGAAGAGCCACTAAAATAGAGCCCCTATGGGTGGTGGGGAGGTGGGGGTTCTCAGTCCAATTTTGTGCCTTAAGCTGGAAGGAGGTCTCACCAACTCAGACTTCAGGTGCAGTCACTGACGGTTGCTGCGGGACCCACTGGACACATGGGGTCCTTCCTCTAGGAGAGGGGTAGGGAGCCCTTTGCCCTCAGTCAGTTGTGGAAAATGAAGAAGCTCTGGAGGGCTGCCTGGAGGGTGATGACTGTCCCTCGCTGTCAAAGGGGCTTGGGGACTGGGACCTTCCCCAAGCATACCTTTGTCTGATCCTCTGGAGGCCTTGCCCTTCTTTTGCCCCAAGTATTCCTGGGAGGGATGGCCCCCCTGGGTGTTCTCTGGGACCAAGGCCCCAGAGTTCTCTTGTTTCTTGGTGACCTGGGAAAATGAAGCGGCCTCCTATATTGACAGCTGGGAATTGTGGAGTCTGCTGTCCCTCCACCTGAGACGGGGTCTCCATGAGCACAGAGGCTGCTCAGGATTCAATAGATCATTTTTCCCCAAAAACCAAACATCCTCCTGGCTTGGCTGGCATTATTCCTAAAGTGGCTTCCCTTGCCAGAATGAGCGAGAATTGAAATAGAACAGAGCAGTCACCAGATGTCTTGCTTCCTACAGAAAACTGGGTATCTTCATGGAGATCGATCCTTTAGAGATATCCAGTTCCTGACCCCATCTGCCTCCAGGTTCCTGGAGCAGCTCATCGTGAGCCCTTCACCCTTGGCAGGTGGGGGCCAGTTGCCCTGCCAGTGCAGGTGTATGTCCATCTTGTTGCATTTGAGGACAATAGGCCTCTCTTTCCAGTTTGCCCTGTGCTCAAGTCCTCAGGGAGGAGCCCACCTCAGGTTGGAGGCGAGGACTCCAGAGACTGGGGCAGGAGTGGGGTCACTGGGTCTGGCCCCATGTCACCTGGAAGAGGTGGCAGAATGGGGCTCATCGGGTCGGAGGGTGTCTGGGGTACAGCAGGAGTGGTTTGGGTGTTTTCCGGAGCGCTCAGATACAGCAGAACCGTTGGATGACTTTGTCTCGCGGGATGGTGATGAATGAGGTCATGGATACCCTGCATGTGCATGGATAAGGGGACATTTTTGACAAGTAGGAGCAGGTACAGATCAGGCTGCTTTCTTGAGGGAGGTAGAGCCTCACCTCACCCACTGTGCCCTGGTCAGAGGGTCCAGGGCTCCCTAAGATCACAGGGCCGGGACAGGCTATCCATGCCCTCATGCCCCCAAGTCCCTACCTTGTGCCCCTCTCCCTGGCCCCCTCTAGGTCACAGGGATGTGGAGCCATGGACACGAAGCATGAGTGTGTTGACATTTGGAAATTCACCAATTGCCTCTGGATTGTGGCGTGAGTCCTCAGTCACCCCACCCACCAGTCTCACCTCAAGGATGTGTTTTGTTTTTAGAAAGGCCTCTCTGAGATTGGACATCTTTCCCTGGCTCACACCAACATTTTCTCCAGGGTCAAAACTCCTCCCTGCCTCTCCTGCAGGTCCAGCCCATGGTCAGGGTTAGCGCAGAGCCTCAAGACCCATTTAGGGAGCTCAGGAGAGCAGGTGGGAGAGAGGAGGCTGGGTCAGGCCCCTGAGCTCTCAGCACTAGGGGCTCCACAACAGCAGGAGAGAGAGGGCAGCCTGAGGGTCTGGCCCTGTCCCCTTAGGTCTGCCCTGGTGAGATCTGAGGGTGGTGGCTACATGACTAGGGGACACCTGGCCGGGCCTGTGGACAGTTGTGCCCCTCTGAAAGCTCGGGGAGCCCAGCTGAGACACCCTATAGGGAGTGGCATTGGGACATTAAGGACTGTGACCATGGGAGGCTGGGGGAGAAGGACAGGGCCTGGCCTGGGCATCTCAATGGTGAGGCCGGGGGCACAACAGAGAGTGCAGCTGAAGGCCCAGTGCTGGGAAGGGCTCTGGGCCTGGGAAGGGGAGCCCAGCCTGAAGCCAACCCCTCAGGACTCACAGGATAAAGAGAGGAGGAGCCTGGGGGAGGGGGGCAAGGTGAACCCTGAGACCTGCCCCTTCTGGGACGCACCTGAACCAAGCCAGCCCAGAGTGGAGCTGACAGTCTGGGGAGGACAACAGATGGGGTGGGCAGGAAACAGTGGCTGGGAAAAGGGCTGACGCAGACCTGCTTATCTGGCACAGGATGGGAGTTAACGGAAGACCATGCTCCCTGCTCAAAGCAAGGAAGACATCTCGGAAGCACCAGAATGTGGTCAGACTTGCTGGCTCCAGCCGCAACCTCTTCCAGTCTGTTTACCTATTGTATCTAGAGTAGAGCATGCTCTGTACCTTCAGAGGAAATGCCACACCGCCACAGCTACAGGTCACATGCTTCATGCTTTCCTTCTTTTCATCCCCCCATCCCTGAACACATGCTTCTTTGTTTAAACACTCAATAAATAGTGTGGGTCTCCAGTGCTCGGATCCTTCCCATCCTCCTGCTCGCTTCCGCCCCCTAGGAGCCTACCTCAATGCACTCTTACTCTTGTTTCTTAATTTCTTTGTCTCCGCCGACCTTTGTTACTTCCTAGGTTGTATCTGGTCCCTTAGTTACTTCCTAGGTTGTGTCTGGTAAGTCACCTGGGACCCCTCAGTGGGGGAATCGGTCAGTCCCCAAGGCTCTGTGTAGCCCTCCAGAGACTCTGCTTCCTGCTGGCTCAGTCAGCACTGCAGAGGGTGGATGGAGGGGCCAAGTTGGAGCAGGCAAGACAGTAGGGGGAAGACTGCCAGGCACCCCATATCCCGGCTGCTGCTGTTGTGGCTGGAAGGAGGCTGAGGGCTGAAGGCCGACTGCCCTGAGAGCTAGCTGAGGCTGGATGCAGATGGTGGGGCCAGCCCCATGCCTGCAGGGCCCATGGTCACCTTGTCATCCCAGGCTACTCCCCAGCAGAGCTGGGCAGCCCAGTGAGAGACCTGGGGGTCTCATTCTTAGGCTCTGACAGGAAGAGGGTCACAGAAGGACCAGGTTGGCTGGAGAGGGTCACAGTCTCACAGTCTCTGGGCCGGGCAGGAAGGGGAAGACAGGGAACAGCCAGGGTCAGTGGCCAGGGTTCAGGGAGAGGCAGGTGAACCCTGGGAAGTCAGACCCTGCAAGGCCCACTGTCAGGTGGGACAGGTTTAAGTGCATCCTCAGCGCCCTGTGCAGCTCTCAGGCCAGGCTCCCTGGACTCTGGTGGGTGATGTGGTCACTCCCAAGGCACTGCTGTCAGTCAGGGCTCAGCCACCACCCGGGTAGCACCCATCCTGTATCAGGACTGGACTTGCTCAGCTCCCACAGAGGGTGTTGCCTCCAGCCCAGGAAGGGCAGCCCCATTGTGCAGCCCGAGGCACCCCATGGGCCCCAAGTGCCCCCGCCAAGGCCAGCCTCGAGCTCCCTCTTCTTTAGGGTCCCAGTGCCTCTCAGGCAGTCAGCCCCACAGGGAGGCTCTTGCCTTCCTTCCCTGTGCCTTCTTCCAGGCTGAGACTTAGGGTGGATAGGGATGGGGCTGATCCTTCCCTGGGGTCATCTCTGGGAGGGGGATGGACCCTGGCCTGGGCAGGCTCTCAGCTCTGCTTGGGTTGCCTTACAGTGAGACAGAGCTGTCCCCTGTCAGTGTCCTGGAGGTAAAGATAAGAGCCTGGGCCTGCTGTGTAGGAGGCTTGTCCAGGGACAGGGAATCAGGTAGGTGAGGCATTGGGGGTGGCCCACGGGCCCAGTTGGTGAATGGGCCACAGCTGTCACTGGGAGGGGCAGCCATTCCTGCTGGACCCTGTCCCCTGAGGGTTTCACCAGAACCCAAGAACTGCTGGCCCAGAGGTCACTGCCTGTTTGCACCAAGTCCCGAGCTAAAGCCTGGGACTGACCGTAACTCAGGGCTTCTGTGGCCTGAAGATGGTGTGTCCTGGCATCACCAGTCCAGACTGCCAGCTCCAGTTAGTTCAGAGGGTCTCAGCCCCTGGGGTCTGCCCTTTCCTGGCTCCTTCCGGTTGGGTCCCTTCAGGGCCCTGAAGCCCAAGACCCAGCATCCAGGGGCCACTACCAGAAGCCTGATGGCTCCGCTAACTCCATCATGGCACATTTCACAGCAAAGACGTCAGGAAATAACACAAATTAAGAAGTGGCTGAAGATGCTCAGAGACTGACAAAAATACAGGAACAGCGAGAAGGTACCACGGGGAGGGAGTGGCCCCTGTGACTGCTCTCTGCAGGGCCAGGAGACAGGCACCCATGGCTGTGACCTGGCAACACCTGCCTCTCAGTGGGTGGGTGGCACCCATCCTCACCATAGGACAGCAGCCCTGTTCACCAGCTTTCCTCACTGGGGCCACCCCATGTCCTGTCTTACTGGAGTCTTCTTCTGTCAGTAGCTGTCTCAAAGAGTGTAGAAAGGCATTCCCCTGGAGGTACGGGCCCGGGCATGGTCACTCTTGCTAGACATGGACAAAGTCAAGGCTGAGAACCCAGGGAAATATAGGGTAAGGCCCTCCCACACTCAGCCAGGGCAGGACAAACAGGCCAGGCCATGTCAGGAACCCAGGACTCCAGCTGGAGGGAACATGGAGCCCAGGTTGGGACTGTGGGGCTTCTGGTCAGATGCACATCCGGGCACAGATGGTGCCTCAGGCACCACAGGTGCGCTGGACTCTGCTGACCCTTCCTGGCTTCAGAAACAAGGCAAAAAGGAACTTTCTGCAGAAGGAAACCTTCCTCCTTTCCTTGCAGAAGTGCTGACTGTGGGATGACTGCCATTTGGAGCAGAGAGTCTTTTGTCTGTTCTGAGGTTGCTTCCTCCTCTTGGTCCTTCCCTACAGGTCATGAAGGAGAAGGGCAAGAGTTCCTCCAGGATCATCAGCTGCATCAAGCTAGATGTCAACCACACCCTCCAGAAGATGTTCATAGAAGGACTCGGGGTCAAGTAAGGCCTATGGGGGCTGTAGGGGTGCCAGGGAAGATGGAGCAATCCAGAGGAATGAGGGCTTCCCCAGGGCAGAGGCCAGGGTCACCCAGGAGGGGTGACAGCACCACTAAGGGTTCTCCAGCCGCAGGGAGCAGCCGACACCATGGACTGAGCACCTCCAGGGCTCTAAGTCCTGGGCCAGGCTAGGACATGTGAGGCCAGAACCCAGGTGGCTCCCAAGGAGACAGAAGGCAGCAAAAAAAAAAAAAAAAATCATACAGAATGGTGAAAAGTGCTCTCCATGGCCCACAATTACCTAGGGCAGGGTCCCACAGGAAGGTGGCGGGATGGTGGGGCTTGGGAGCCTTCCTGGGCAACACTAACAGCCCACAGTACCAGGGAGGACGCAGGGCCCCGGAAACTCTCATCCATGGCTGGTGGGAACATGACAGGGCACAGCCACTTTGGAAGTCAAATAGACCACGGCTCACGAAGCTCAGTGGCCTCGTGCTACATGTCCCCAGAGTGTCACAGATATTGACCACACTAATTTTAAACTAACATCCAAGTAAAACCCACATGCCACATTCACTGTGTAATTGTCACTCACACCCGGAGGCTACTGAGATGATCTTCAACACGGGAACTGGGGAGGAAGGGGTTCTGCTCTTCAGACAGAGACGACTCAGTGAGGACAAGCAACAAACCCCTGATGCCCGCAGGAACATGGCTGAAACTTAGATGCGTCTTGCTGAGGGAATGAAGCCAGACCCAGCAGGCCACACCGCTGCAGGATTCCAATTCCTAGGCCATTTGGAAAAGGGTCTAGACCATATTCAAAGACCACAGAGACAGAGAACAGATCAGGACGGCCAGGGGCTGACGGAGCTGGGAGAGGTCGGCTGCAAAGGGAACATGCTGGGGACTTGGAGGATGAAGGAGCTGCTCTGGGAGGGGCTGCAGTGGTGGACAGGAGGCCCTGCACATTAGTTCAGAACCGCGGAACTTCACTTCCCAAAGACTGGACTTCTGTGTGTGCAAACCGAGAAAAGAAGGAAGAAAAAAATCAACCAGAGTGAAAATGATCACTGATCCAACCGTACACTGCAATATTTGCATTGCAAGGCATGTGGATTCTACTGAAACAATTCCTAAAAACTCAGGTGTCCGGAAGAGCTCTCTGCTTATTTGGGGGATCACCCGAACCCAGAATTGTGTTTGTGGTCTGGGTTTGTAGACAAAATGAAACTGACAGCATCTGCACAAAACAAACAAAACTCTCTTTTCCCTCTTTTCCAGGCAGCAGGAATTATGTGCCATTCTCGTGGCCTACTCTGCCTATAACCCTGTGAGTATTCCCAGGCAGTGATATTCCTGGGCCATATTCCCATATTCACAGGCATGGGTTTCTCTCGGGAGTGTCGGCACTTCTTGAAAATTCAGTGTTCGTGACCCACCAGAATGTAGTAGGCGGGACTCAAGCTCACTACTGGCAGAAAAGGGTTGAGGCCCAAACTCCTGGTGTCACGTGGACCCAACCACCACGTCTCAGATGAAGAAATGACCCTCCCTTCCTGGTGTTGCCCCAAAGCTTGGGAGCTTGGCAGGGTCCCACGCAGGATGGCCCTCACAGGAGACAGGTTTGACAAGTTGCTGAGGTGCCTGATGGGCCAGGTTCTTGTCATAAAATGAGTCTGCATCCTGAGGAAACCTCTTCTTCACTGGAAACCTGGAAAGGATACAATTTCCTTTTTGCCCAAATCCCATAGGAGCACAGCAGATAGGGGAGGGGGTCACCCAGGTGGCTGCTCCTGCTTGGCCCCCACTTTCCAGACCATTCCAGGCAGGGAGAGCCGCTGAGCCAACTTCATGGGCTGCCCACACAGGGTCTGGACCCAGCCACCCTCCTGTGCCTGGCAGGCAGCCCCTGGGCTGTTGTTGCGGGACCTTTGTGGGGTGGTCAGTGCCCCGCCGCCTGCCCTCATGGCGGGTGTAGTTCACAGGTGCTGCCCCAGGCCTGTTACAGTGGCCTCTCTAGCCTGGCCCAGGGGAGGGGCATGAACAATCCCTGCCTGTGCCCTTTTGGGCCATGTGAGCTTGAATGCTCACGGCAGGAGTTCCCCCCAGGCTCCTTGTCCACCAAGTTATGTTTGACCTGCTCTGTCCTCATGCCCAGGGCCAGGGGAGGGGTGCAGCAGCTGCACCTCAAATCCCCTGAGGCCTGAGGCAGGTGTCCCTGAGGACCTCTGCCATCTCTGGTGACGCGAGCCCTCCCAGGTGACATCCTTCTACAGTGACTCTGGCTCTTGCAGGAGATGTGCTACCACAGGGACCTGAGCCGCATCACCGCAATCCTCCTCCTGTATCTGCCCAAGGAGGATGCATTCTGGGTGCTGACCCAGCTGCTGGTCAGTGAGGGGCACTCCCTGCAAGGTAGGTGAACATCTGTCCCTGGACACGGCCATGCCAGGGGACAACCACCCTGGCCAATGAGCCCAACTTCCAGGCAAGGCATCTTCCTTGCATGCCAGCTCATTTGGAGACTCCAGGACATCCCTGCTGAGGTCCTCTGACCTCAAGTCTGATGCCTTTCATCCCCAACAGCAGAGGACATCGATACCTCTCCCTAGCCACCCTCTGTCACCCAAAGCCAGCCCCAACTTTGTGCAGGTTCCGCTCACCTCCCCGAGTGTCCTCCTGCCTCCCAGCTGGCTGTGCTCCCAGCCACCTTCCCTCCCCATGGATGGGCCAACAAAGCCAAGATGCCAATGTCTGCCCGTCCCGTGTCCCCCAACCTGACCTTACATCCAAGAGATGCCCACATAGCCCTGAGCTCCCACCCTGTTCTCCCTGCTGGCACCTGCCTCATGGTGTCAAAGGCAGGCCTGCCCTCCTGGCACCTGGACCCAGGATGCCACTGGGCAGCACCTCCAGCCAGGACCCATCTCCCTAGGGCTAAGGCCGCATGAGGGGTCACCAGATGGGAGGGAGGGAGGCCTTGGGGTCCGGTGTCCCCTGCCCTGCCCAGCTTTTCCAGCTGATGCCTTCACATCTTGGGAGTGGGCTCTGATGGAGTAATGGGTGAGGGCTTCTCAGCATTCTACAGCCCAAATACAGCCCTGCTGCAGAAGCTCCTATCGCACCAGGAGCAGGTGTTGCACAAGTCCTTCCCCAAGATCATGAGACACCTGGTGAGTGGATGACACCCTCGGCTCCTTTCCAGAGGCCCTGGGTCCCTGGGCCAGGGGAGGCCCGAGCTCCTCATGGGGTTGGCAAGAGGCCAAGTCCCAGCAACAGCCTGACCAGGGATGAGCCTTCTCCATGGGTTCAGAGTTAGGTTTCCTTTTTCTGCCCTGGTGGAGGCAGAGGTGCTGGGACCAGGGCCAAGCCACAGCTGAGCAGGGCTGAGGGAAGCTCATTTGTACATGGGGCAGGTGTTAGAGCCCTGGCCACTCCCTGGGTTCTGTCCCTTAGGAAAGGGTCTGCAGAGGGGCCTGGAAGAGGGAGGATTTCAGGGAAACCCAGGGGTCCCTGAGCACCTCTGCTCCTTTCTTCATGGCAAGGAAGGGCTGTACATTGAGGGTTCCATGCTGACGAGGCTCCTCCAGTGTTTTGTTGACGGGGTAAGGAGGCACAGGGAGACCCAAGCCCAGGGACCCTCCTGCCCCAAAGTGTCTGGCTCCCTCAGCCCAGGGGTCTGGCTCCCCCAGGAGGACCCGGCTCACCCTCAGCCCACAGAAGGCACAGGCAGGTCCCTGCAGGGCACACAAGCCAGGCCCTGCCTGAGAGGGGAGATTTCATGACAGAGGCCAGGGCTCAGGCCCAGCCTTGTGGGCAGACTGGGTCAGGACCTGGCTGGGGAGGGCCCAGGGAAGCCCCAAGTCCTCAGGAAGCCCCTCCTCAGAAGCCACAGCACTGATGAGATGAGTCCCCCATGAGGAGCTGCAGGACCTTGTCTGACCCAGCCTCATTGCGAGTCTCATCCCATGGAGAGGGGTCCCCAGCACTCCAGCAGACTGAAATCCCAGTAGGCCCTGCTCAGGCCACCAGCCCCAGCCTGGAAAAGCCAAGTCCTCCCACACCTGCTGTCCCTACAGAAATCCACAGGGTCACCCTGCGACTGTGGGATGTGCTCATCTTGAAGGGCGAGCGGGTACTGGCAGCATCATTCAAAATACACAGGAGTAAGTCACGCATGCCCGAGGGTGCCTGGGGGAACACACGGGATAGATCCCGGCTGGCCTGAGGGAAGTGTCCTTACACTGCCTGCTCCATCAGGTGGGGAGATCTGGCCTGATCGGCTAGGCAAGGCATGATGACACTGAGTCCACCCCCAACGTGACCCAGACGAAAGTCAGGAATGTGGTGCACTTCCCTGCACGGCCTTCCCCAGCTGTGGCCTCCCGTGCACAGCTTGACCTGGGGTGGCCAAAAAGGACCCAGCACTACCCAGTGGGAGGTGGGCCTGTTGGAAACAGGGTGCGGGCACCGACCCCTCCCAGGGAACCCTCCTGGCCTGATGCCCACCCTGTCCCTAGAGCACCTCATGAGCTTTCCTGGAACACCATCCGGGAAGTTCAGGAGCAGCTCTCTCAGAGCTGGGCCCTGGAGGACAACGCCATGCTCAGGAGCCTTCAAGCCTCCATGAAGGAACTCACAAGGACACACTGGGACCTGCCACCCCCAGGTGGCCTCCAGCACCAGGTCCCCATTCCAGGAATGACCTGAGGTTCCTTGAAAGCTCTCCACCCCAAACTGCACACAGCCCCTGCCCTGGGATCAGCTGCCTGCAGCGGCCTCCTCAGTGTCAGGCTAGGGGGCCACACGGAGACCCCGAGGACTCCAGAGAACCAGGCCTGTGGGGCATAGCCCTGAAGAGAACAGATGGCGGTGAGGATGCTGACCACTTCTGTTTCTTTTTTTCAGCTGAGCTCAAGCAAGTGTCCTCAAGAGTGTCCCCTGGCATTGGGAGTCTCTGTGAGAGGGGCAGACTGGCCCTGCCCACCCTTCCAGCTCAGCTCCAGGAGCTCACGCCATCAGTCTGCCTGCAACAAAAGCCTTGTCCTCTCCCAGCCTGGCTGGACAAGGCTGTCCCTAAGGCCAAGGTTGAGGCCCATCAGCACAAGGGGGCTTCCCAAGAACCCAGAGCCACAGGCTACACTCTGGGGGGCCCAGAGGCTCAAGGAGAGGGTAGCCTGTCCCCCAGCGAGATCAGGCTTTGCATTCCACGGAAACGCCCATTCAGGATTTCATGCCACTGCTCCACCCAGAACCACCCGTCATGGACCCATGTTTTCTGCACTGCCATTTCCAACACTGCTCCAGGGACTCTGTGGGGGTTTCTCCAGGACCTGGGGCCACACACTGCACTCTGAAGGGCCCAGAGGCTCAAGATGAGGGCCACCTGTTCCCCATTGAGGCCAGGCTTTGCATTCCACAGAAACACTCATCTGGGAGCTCCATGCCACAGAGGAGGGCAGGTCTCCACACAGACCTGCCCGCTGGGGACCCGTGTTTCCTACACTGCCATTTCCAACATGGCTCCTGGGACTCTGTCACTTCCACATCTTCCATGAACAGCCCTGGAACTACAAGACAGACCCCGCCCAGTGAGCCCAGTGGGACCCTAACACCAGGCCCTGCCTTGGCTTATGACAGAGAGGAGGCACTTCAAGAGAAACCCCAGCAACAAGGTTCCCCCTGCCTGCAACTCCCCTCGGTAGAAGAACAACATGGCATGGAAGGAGCCCAAGGGCCCTCTGCCCAGCTGCCTTGAAGACCCAGATGGCTGCTGGACCTTGTTTTCTACTGCCCTTCTATTTTTATTTTATGTTTTTTGCTTCTGGGCCTTGGGAAATACTGTACAATGAGAAACTTGGCCCCATCAAGGCCTGTGGAGGGAAGGCTGAGCATGGGGTTCCCGCAGCCCCAGCCAGCCAGCAGCATGCCCTGGGACCTCTGACCCCACCTGTGGGTCAGGGCCTCTCCCCCAGGGCCCAAGTTTCAGGCCAAGAGGGGCCTGGCTTCAGCCCAGGTCCTAGGTGGAGAGGGGCACAGCGGGTCCCCAGGTGACCATGCGGGGGACCAGGGCACTTCGAGCCCTGGGTGCTACGAGGATTCACATCAGAGAACCTATGCAAGCTGGCCCAGAAACGCTGAGCCTGTGCAGTGATGATATGGGTGTCTGGCACAGGGGTCAACAGCTGTGAACACTGCTGCCTCTTCCTGACGCCATCACTGCTGTGCGGGCAGCCTTCACCCAGAGCTTGGCCCAGCAGTGCTCCGAGTACCCCGGACTGCTATGCCAACATGCCACCTGGAAGCTTTGAGGCCCTGCCTGCCACAGCATTCCCCTTCTGAATGCTAGGGGAATTGTCCTGAAGCCAAGCCACTGCCGCAGCCACAGCAGGCACCACTGCCAAGCGTCTTCCAGCTGGGCTTCCCAGAAGGCAGAGGTGCCTCAGCAGCTCAGACTAGGAAGGTAGTTTCATCCACATTTCCATTGTTCCCACCAAAGAGATTCCCTTTGATGGGAACAGAGGATGCTCTTGATCAAAGGTGGGCAAAATGGCATGCCAGGTGGATGGAGTCAGCTCCTTTCCCTGGTCACCACATTAGGTTGGGGACAAAGTGGCCATCAGGCAGGCTTGGAACATGAGAGGCTCAGCATGCTGCATGTGGCCTGACCAAGGCTGGCCAGGCCAACACCACTGCCAAGCGCCCCATCTGCTGATGAGAGACTTGCTGTTGATCCCTGGGCTGGCGCTATTTCCCAGGAGGACCAGCTGGCCGCCTGTGGGTAGGATGCCACACTGTGGAGGGGGCTGAGATCAGCCTTCCCTGCAGGGAGCCCCTACCTGGATACAGACTTGCCTTGCCTGTCCTTTCTGTCACCATGATGGCAGCCCACATGGCATTGCTTTTGACCAGGTCATTTCATTCACAGCGAGGGACATGCAGCAGTAACCCCAGACCAAGGAACTAACTGTTCTCACTACATCACCCACCGCCTGGAAGCAAGTGGGCTTACAATCACTCAGTTATGCTGAATTTTATCCTTTCTGTTGGAAACCAGTAGATGGTGCTGACTCCCTCACAGCCAGAAGGTACAGGTCTGAGAGTCAACGTGTGAAAGTGGACAGTGTTCAGTATTACACTTCATCTCTCAGTCACAAAGTTTTCCTATTTCCATCCTGGAGAAACAGCTTTGCTGGTTGGAAGGACTTAGGACCCAGGCAGACTGAAGCTTCCCCCAGGGGAACACAACAATGGTTCTATTTAATGTGAAGAGACTGGACTAAGTCTGAAACCCGGGGCACTCTCTGGTGTTCTTGGTGTTTCCATGTGAAGAAAGTCAAATAACTTGCCACAAAGGTTTGCCACAGAGGCATCTGAAAAAAGAGGGGGCAGAACTATTCAGAACTCAGAGGCTTCAGAGTCAAAGATGAGGTTAAGAAGGAGAATTGTGACCCATTGAGGGCAGGGGAAGTATGGGGGTGGCTGGGAGATGCTGTCATAGAGGTCCACCCTGGCCTTGTGATCTGTCACAGAACCATGCACTAGAATAGCTGTGCACATTTTCTCTCCACTGATTATACTATTTCTTTCCATTTGCAACTCTCCAATTACTAAGGGAGCTAGCTACCAAACGCACATTGCTATACCACAGCCTGGGTCTTGCAATGCAAGCCTGGCAATGATTCCTTCATGTCAAGGGCCTCAGGTGACTTTCATGTACACCCAAGGACAGAGTCCTAGATGACACCTTCCTGCTCAAAAAAGAAGGAACGAGGGTCAAGAAATAGCGAGCCAGTCACGGAGAAGGATAAGATGTGAGTGTGTGGCCTTCCTGACACCCAGGCAAGACTTTGGGCACAAAGCTGGGCTGCAGCTCTGGCCACTGACTTGGACCAGGGATGCCCCCATGCAGGCCGGTCTGCCCTGGCTTCTCTTCTCTCTCCCGCCATCCTCTCTTCCACTGTCTGTGTTAGGAAGGGAGAAACTGCCGGTTTTCAGAAGAAAACGTAGCTTTGTTATGACATAGGAAAGACTGCAAGTTATTAGGGGAGGAGTAGTCAAACAGCTCCTGAAAATGAGGGGGAAAGTAGGTGTAAATATGCTGGTAATAAAGCCTGAAACCATAGCACAGTGATTAGAATGTTGTTATTACAATTTTTGTTTTTAAAGTTATAGTAAACAAAACAGTCTCTTGAATTGTCAAAAGTACAGCAATTTTACACAATGAAAAACATACACACCAACCCAGAATAAATTACACTTGGGTCTATATGTTGCAGTGGTGCTGGCACAGGAGGGAAAATCCAGGGAGGTTCCAGTGCCTGCCAGGGAGCCCAGACTCACAGAGGGCCCTGGGAACGGAGGGAGGTTGCATACCACTGAGCTTAAAGCACTCCATTCAGGCATCTGAAGACAGAAAGCCCATTTATCTTCCTGTGAAGCACTGAAACGACAGCCAGCATCTCAGAAATGCAGGTGATTTTTAATACACTGGTGTGAACGTGTTGGGGATCACCCAGGGGGTCCCTTAGTGGTCAGATACAGTTTGTCACAAACTGGTTTCCTGAATTTCATATTGGATAGGGAGCTAAAAGAAGAGATTCCCAAACCCATCAAGCAAATACTTGGTTGTAACAAAGTAAGATCACAAGAGCACATCAAACACAGGACCTGATGCCTAGGGCAGTTCCCAGGGCCGCTGCCCCCTTGGATGAGAAGTTCTTTAGCAGCAGGCACAGAGGTAATTAGAAAGGCAATGCCACAGTGAATAAAGGGGATTAACTTGGATACAAACATTTAGAATGATGCCTGAAAAAAATTAATGCGGCTCCACTTTTCTTCTGGATTCTAATGTTGCCAGAGCAGCAGCCACCCCTAAATGCAAATTGAGACACCATAGAGCCCAGGGGGAAGTGGGGAGGCAGAGCTTGGCCAAACCACAGGCAGCTGCCAGAGAGGCCCACACACCTGCCTTTCACACTCTGTGGTGGACACCCCAGGAAAGCAGGGGTGCCCCTGTAACTGCCAAACAGGTTCACCTTGCCTGCTGCCTAGACAGAGCCAATTTACTGAGACAGGGGAATTACAATAGAGAAAGAGTAATTCACGCAGAGCGAGCTGTATGAGAGGCCAGAATTATTAATTGAATCAGTCTCCTTTTGCATGATCCATCAGCGTTTGGGGATCAGAGTTTGGAAGGATAATTTGGTGGGTGATGGGAGAGGCCAGTGAGTCAGGAGTGCTGATTACTTGGGTCAGAGATTATATCATAGGGAGTCAAAGCTGCTTTGTTGAGCTGAGTCAGTTCCTGGGTAGGAGCCACAAAATGAGATGAGCCAGTTTATCAATCTGGGTGGTGCCAGTTGATCCATAAAGTGCAGGGTGGGTAAAATCTCTCAAGCACCTGTCTCAGGCTTTACGATAGTGATGTAATTCCATGGAGCAATTTGGGGAGGGTCAGAGTCTTGTAGCCTCCAGCTAAATGACTCCTAAACCATAATTTCTAGCCTTGTGACTAATTTATTAGTCTCACAAAGGCAGTCTAGTACCCAGGCCAAAAAAAAAAAAAAAAGGTTTGTTTTGGGAAAGGGCTGTTATCATCTTTATTTTAAAGTTTAAACTATAAGTTGTGTGCAGTGGCTCACACCTGTAATCCCAGCACGTTGGGAGGCTGATGCAGGCAGATCACAAGATCAGGAGTTTGAGACTACCCTGACCGACTGATGAAACCACATCTCTACTAAAAATACAAAATTTAACCGTGCGTGGTGGCACGCACCTGTACTCCCAGCTACTCAGGAGGCTGAGGCAGAATTGCTTGAACCTGGGAGACAGAGGTTGCAGTGAGCTGAGATCGCACCACTGCACTCCAGCCTGGTCTGGAGTAAGAATCCACCTCTCAAAAAAAAAATAATAATAGCAATAATGTGCATTAAAAAGTTGCATGGGCTTGCGTGGGCCAAATCAAATTCAGCTAAAAGCCAAATTGGCTGTGATCCATCAGTTTGAAATCACTGATCAAGGAACTCAAAGATCTTGCCTCCCTTTCACTCAGAAATTCCATTTCTAGGGATCCACCCACAAGAAATAATGCAAAGAGTGGGCAAAATTTGACACATACACTTAAGTATCATTTTTATTTATTTATTTATTTTTTGTGAGACAGAGTTTCACTCCTATTGCCCAGGCTGGAGTGCAGTGGTGTGATCTCGTCTCACTGCAACCTACACTTCCAGGGTTCAAGTGATTCTGCTGCCTTAGCCTCCAGCGTAGCTGGGATTACAGGCACCTGCCACCACACCCAGCTAATTTTTGTATTTTTAGTAGATATAGGGGTTTCACTATGTTGGTCAGGCTGGTCTCGAACTCCTGACCTCAAGTGATCCACCCACCTCAGCCTCCCACAGTGCTGGGATTACAGGCATGAGCCACCTCACCCGGCGAGTATCACTTTTAAACCCCAAAGCTGGAAAGCCTCTGAATACCCAGCAATAGGGGAAACTTAATGAATGTTTTGTAGCCACTTAGAATGGCTTACAGGAAGACTGTGAAATGTCCTCAGTAGATATAGGTGACATAATTTTAACGATGGTTGTTCAATATCACCATCATTGTCATCTGCTATGAACATACACTTTTTTCTTGTGACAAAAAGAAGACAGGTTCCGCAAGCCCTCCTCTCCTGGCTGGGGTAGGGTGGCTCAAATAGGTCACCTCCCCAACTGCTCGCCTCTCCTCTATTTCCAAATTCGGAGTGATGTTCTGATATAACGTTTCTTGGCACTTCCCACGTTTGATTTGCATTTTAAGCACTTGACTCTCAGGAGTGCATCTCCGCACACCAGTTTCCCTTTGGCTGGCTGCGTGCTCGTCCACAGCCATTTGCCCTGCCGGTCACGTGGAGGAACTGCTTTGGGTAGAAATCCACCCCCTGTCCCACCCATCCCTGTTTTTCATAAGCACTTGAATCAAAACAATCTTGAACATCGTCTCTCACTTTGCTGGTCAGCAGGGACGCACCTGTCTCCAAGAATTCAACACCATGGACAATGGGATTCACTGTGCAGCCATTTTTGACTGTGGCCCTTTCTCTAAACAGCTAGGATCATAGCCTCTTCCATTCTTCCTTCTTGTGCATCTTGTCATGGAACAGACGCTACCCGCAGAAAACTGACAGTTCTTTCCAGGCTTCAACCTGGAAAACCTGACTCCATTTGGAGTATTCTAGGTGCTCACATCAATGACGGTGCCTGAAAACAACTAAATTCTGGCTGTAGAGTCCACAGCAAGTGGGGAGGTCACACCCCTACTGAATGCATGAATGACACTAGGATCAGGACAGCACAGGGCTGTGGGGCACAGAAAAGGAGCCCATTATCCGGCTCAGCCACCCCAGGAGATGCCGCTCAGCTGTGTACTGTGAGGTAGATGTAGAGAAAAAATGCTTCACAACCAGCAAGCCAGTGCAGTATGGCGCAGGCCCATCCAGTGGCCTGCAGTGCCTGCTGGGATCAGAGGACAGGGGATGCTACAGGGGGTGGGGCGGGGCTGCGTGGAGGGAGCCGTGTGTGAGCTGAGCCTCTGTGCTGAGTTCAGTAGCCACCTCCCCAAAAGTCATGTCCACCAAGCACCTGTGAAGGTGACCTGATGTGGAAACAGGGTCTCTGCAGACGTGATGAAGTGAAGACAAGGGCTTGCTGGATTAGGGAGGGCCCTCATTCAGTGACTGGTATCATTATAAGGCGGGGCATTTGCACAGAGACACAGGGAGGAAGCCACGTAAAGATGGAGGCAGAGGTTGCTGTGGTTTGTCCAGAGCCCAGGAGCACCGTGGAAAGCTGGCCACCAGCAGAAGCCAGGGAAAGGGGCCCAGAGGGGCAGCCATGACATTTATTTTACGGGGCCGACCATGACATTCTTAAGTCTCTCCTATTGCTGGGTATTCAGAGACTTTCCAGCTTGGGGTTTAAAAGTGATACTGGGCGCAGGGGCTCACTCCTGAAATCCCAGCACTTTGGGAGGGGGCGGGACTTGCCGACCCCTCAATCCTGGACTCTGGCCTCCAGAACCCTGACAGGATAAACTTCTGTTGTATTAAACCCGGTTTGTGACACTGTGTGATGGCTGCCAAAAGGCACCCCAGCAGCTTGAAGGAGACCTTGTCTAAAGGACCCTCAGCACCTGTGGGTGGGTGGCCACTCCTCTGGGGTGACAGCCCTTTCTGGGTGACAGCCCTGCTGGGTGACAGACCTCCTAAGTAAAAACCCTGCTGGGTGACAGCCCTCCTGAGTAACAATTCTCCTGGGCGACAGGTTTTCTGAGTAACAGCTCTACTGGGTGACAGCCCTCACTGCCCCTGAGTGGCTGCCTGGCATCCTGCAGAGAACCAGTCACCAGCACCTCCTGATCATCACCAGCAGGTGGCGCCCCTGACCTAGGCACTGGGCCCCTCTGCACCCTGGGTTCTGGGTGGAGCTGGGAGGGAGCCAGCTTGGGCGGGGTGGAGCCCTGGGCGCCTACCCTGGACCGAAGTCAGGTGGTGAGCACGAGCGGATCCGGCTTCTTTACCTTCCTGAGGCCTCAGTCAAGGGGCTGGCTGCCTGCCCTGTGCAGTTTAGAGGACTGTGTCCCTGGGGCAGTGGGTGCAATAAATTTCAGGACTCTGACCCAGGTACAGGGGGCACAGGAGGGTAAGGGCTCCCTTGCTCTCCCCTGGCAGTGGTCCCTCTTCACAATCTGGGAAAATGTCCAGAGGCTGTGCTGGGTGGGGAGTTTCGCAAACCGGTCCAGTGGGTCAAAACCAGTCCAGCCACTGCACTGAACACAGTCTTCTGCGGTGGGTCACACCTGCAATCCCATGGCTTGGAGAAGCTGAGGCCGGAGGATGGCTTGAGCCCAGGAGTTCGAGACTGCCCTCTGCACCCCAACCTGAATGACAGAGCAAAGCAAGACCCTGTTGTCTTTTTATTTTAAAAAACTTTTTTAAAGTAAGTTCTGGAGCCCAACTATCTGGTCCAACTCTGGCTTTGCCGCTGTTTTGGGCAGGGGAGAGTCAGACCCTGGGACAAGGATTCCAGAGCAAGTGCTTGGTTTGGGAGATGCAGGAAGCCCCAGGGGAGGGCGCAAGAGGCAGGGATGGGAAGAAGC